GCGGGAGTGGGCCCAGGCGCTGCGCCCCGAGCAGAAGCCACCTTCACTCCACGCGACACCTGCTGCTGCTGCTGCGGCGGCGCTGCGATGAGCCGCGTGGTCGCGGTGCTGCTGGGCGCCGCGCTGCTCTGCGCCCATGGAGCCTTCTGCCGCCGGGTGGTCAGCGGTGAGTCAGGGGCGCCGGCCAAGCAGACAAGCGCCGAGGGAACGTGGGGCACTGAGAGTCAGCCGGTCTTTTGGTTGAGGCTCTGGGTGGGGTGGTAGTGGGAGAATGTTTGGAAACCTGTAGAGATGGGGGGCAAGGAGGAGGGAGCAGAAATAGATCATATTATTCTCTGCCCCCCCCCCCCAAACACGCACAGAAAAGTTAAAAAAAATTTTTTTTTTTGAAGTCCTTTGCTCGGCGCAGGTGGAGCGAGCCTCAGCTTCCTCATGAGAAGTTCAGCGGTTTTCAGGAGTGATTCTCATTATCTTTGTAACCGAGTTGACCACAAAATAGGGTTGGGCACCTGCAAAAGGGATGGAGTTGGGGAAGAAGCGCACGAAGTGACTGGGAACAACCTCTGGAGAAATGCCACTCCCTGTTGGCCTGGCTGGACTGGCCTTGCTTCTCCAGTCCCAGCACCTAGTTCCCTGGGAAGACTCCTGACTCCAGACTGGTTCGCTCCAGGTCACTCACAGATGTACGCAGCAGCCTTTGTTCTCAGAAGGGCTGACAAAGACCTGGGGACTGGTCATTATGCGAAGACGCCTTCCCTTTGCATACCTCCCCCCAAATTGGGGACTTCTCAGGAAATAAAGTCAGCTGGTGTTGGGCTGAGGCATACATGGTAATGACCTCAAGTTCTTGCAGAGTAGGTCTGCAATGAGGTTTTCCACTTATTGCCAAGGGACGGATCAAAATTGGCAACCTTCCTGGTGTTTTCTCCTGAGTTTCCTTTTTCAGCTTTTCCTGCCCATTTGCTGAACAGTTTATTTTGCATCCACCCACCCTTACTTTTTTGGGAAGATCTCTTAAAAACGATGTTGCTTCTCAATGGAAATGAGTGGAAATAGTGCTTTTTGTGAAAACTGAATATCAATTCCCTTATCAAAAAAAAATCTCTTGGATGTATTTGGGCATGTTTTAAAGGTGAAAAATATTTAAACCAAAAAAACATGATCAGTTCTTTTTACAGTTTGTGTATCTGTACATCAGGTGTCACTAGATGTGGAGCTAGATGACAGATGACAGCAACTCAATCACTTGTGAAGCCAGACCTTTAGAAATTGGCATATTAAGCTTAATTGTTACTGATCTTCCCTTCAGCAATTTGTTGATGTTCTACATCTTCAGAATATATTTCTTAAAGGTGTGGCTATCAGTCACTATCCACTAATTTTTTTAGGGTGTTACAGAGCTGTGACATTAGATCTTCTCTTCCCTAATTTAACTATGAAGTAAAAGTGCAGTATATGTACCCATCTGGTTGTGTGAATTACACAATTACACATGACTGCTTTGTGTTTATCAGAATTACTCAAGCAAACAAATGAGCAGCAGACATCAGGCTTAGAACATAAGGTATTTTTTAAACAGAAATGGTTGACTTAATGCCTTTTTGGTAAAATCTTACTTATTGGTCTTAAAATTTTCAGAGAACAAAGGTATCTGAAGTAAAAATAGAACTTTAAAAACTCTTGATGAAAAGTTTGTGTTCTGTTAGTACATGAACTGTCTCAAACCTTTTGCTGTATTTTCCTACTAAATATTTATAGGCATCTTGTAGGTGACATCTGGAAAATTTCTAATTAACTGAACATGATCTATTTGATTTAGTATAAATGATGATGTTTACTTGATATTTAAACAAATTAGTTATGTTTTTCTTATGAATAATTTAATTGTCTGGTCATAAATTACACTGAAATTTAACCATCTGTAAATTGATTTGTGATTTTTATCCTTTGAAGGCTAATTTTTTAAAAGATGCATTTCAGCCATAATGGCCTTATGGGCACAGAGGCCTAAAGCCTAACATTTCTGAAGCAATAAGTCTTCATGTGTCTAATATCTATCTGCCGATGTGAAGTTTTGAATAGTGACCCAACTTTTTCATGGCTCTAGGGACTATTTACCTAATCTGTATGTAAGTGTCTTAGCCTCTTTGAGGATATTATTCAGAACATACTGACAACACATGGAAAATATTTTCTGGTTATTAAGGTGAAATACAACAATTTAAAACTTCTATGTAGTATGCCTAAATAATCATTTACCCAATGGAGAAAAAAAGACACTCGCAAAATAATTCTCCATAAAAATTCTCTTTCTTTTAATATTTTAAAATATTCAATAAGAAATGTCCCAAAACTTTAAATATACTACCTTCTTGAAAATTTCAGAGCATTGTTTAAAAATAAGGTGAAAATATTTTAGCAGAGATTACCATCATAATATCTAATCCATAAGATTTAATAGCATCTAGCAGAAATTAGAAACTACTTTTATAAGCTAGTGGCCATGCTTTTCTTTTTTTAAGTTTATTTATTTCATGAGAAAGAGAGAAAAAGAGGGCAGGAAGGGGAGGTAAGAGAGAGAGAGAGAGAGAGAGAGAGAGAGAGAGAGAGAGAAATGCAGCACCCCTGATGGTTTCAATGCCTCAATCCACACCCAGCTTGAGCCAGCCCTGTATCATTGGCACGTGCATGCCCAGTACACTTAGGGAGATCTACAGACGCAAACGGACAACCTTCCCATGTGGGTCAGCATTGAAGAGCTTTGTCTTTTACTGGTGCGCCACCACCGGCCCACCCCACACTTCTGATGCATGGGTATGTAACAAAAATATGTAACCATGTTGATAGTAATCAAAGAATATTTACTGAGTTTATGATGCTATATTGGGCATTAATTTTAGGATCTTGAACTGTTACTGATTTACTACATGCAGATATATAAAAATAATCTATGGGATGAGAAGTATTTAATTTTTAAAGTGATTGGTGTATAATGACATCTTTAGAACAGAAGTAAGAGGATTTTACTTATGGTGATATGAATAAATATGAAAAAGAATGGTTCAAAATTTAGGATTCTAAATTGGGAGGATATGTTTAAAGAGCAATATTTTTATGTGTTTTAAGTACTGTGTTTCTTTTTCATTGTTTTCTCTGTTTCTTTGTAGTCTCTGTAGCAGTGAACAAACCCCAATGTATTCACACTTCTTCAAAATTTCACTAGGTGAATTTTGTGGTACCTCCAAATTTCCCCAGAACACTTTAATATGTCTTAGCTTAACCTTATTAAAACTGGCATGGATTTTATTTAGATGACTGGGTGATTTAAAAACCTGTCATTTATTTATTTGTTTGTTTGTTTGTTATTGGGTGCATGCATTTGCATAAGAAAGAGAGACAGAGAGAAAGCACTTTCGAGAGAAGGGAGGATGACCACACCACAGTCCCTTTTTCATTCTCCTCTTGGCATATTGGAAATGAATGTACACATGGCTAGAGTGTTTAACAAGTCACTGGATCTGGGACTTGAACTATGATGTTGGCTATGTGAAATCCAGCCACCTTAACCACCACATCACCTGGCTGGCCCAAGAGATCTCTTTTCTTACCATATAGATACCATAGAATCCTGTGAATTCATGGATGGTGATCAGGAACCTAAAGATTAATGTAAGAGCAAAGGGGATACAAGAAAAACTGCAGAGCATATCCCAGCCTATGAACCTATTTCATGACATCATCAAAAGCATAAAGTGATGATGGTGCAGTTTTCAAAGATGCAATTACTTTAAGTATCTCTTGAGCAAGATAGGAACAAATTAATCTTATTACTTAGTCATTTATGAACTACCCATTTATCATTGCCATTATTCCTTAACTGCTTTTAGTCATCATTTTATGATTTTTTTATAATTTCTTCTGAAGATGGCAATATCTGCTACTTTGATATTAGAAAAGAGACAGTATTTTACATAAAGGAGCCCAACTGGGAATCCAGCTGATGCTTCCACCCATAATTCTTATTATTTACAACAGTATTCCCATAGAAGTGGGTGGATGTGTACCACTGTGAGGTGAAATAGTTTCCTTCATTGTTTTAACACTCTGCTGATTATATAAAAGCCTGACAACTAAAATTATGGCCCCTGTAATTGAAAAAATGGTCAATTGGGGCTTACGTTGTCTTATCTGTAAAAATATAAGACCCAAATTTTTGAAAACATCATTGAAAACGTGTATTCTGAAATTCTGAGATAGAAGGTTCTCTGGTATTAACTATAAATATTCAGCAGTAAAATATTCAAACATGGGAACCAGCAGTTAGCATAATGGCTATGTTGCTGGACTCCCACGTAGTCGACCTTGGTTCATGTCCTGGACCCGGTGGCTTAAAACTCACGCTGGGCGCATGTGCGCGCGTGCCCAAGATCCCAAGAGGAGAATGGAGGGGAAGGGATTGCAGCGTGACCATCCCCCCCTGGGGGGTGATTTCTCACTTTCTGTCTCTATGTCTCTCTCTGTCTGTCTGGCGAGCGCACACGCCCTATAGCGAAAACCTCTCAAAAAAAAAAAAATCCAAACATGCTAGAAACAAGCTCTAAATGTACAACCTCCTGTGTATATTAGTCACCCAGTTATCAATAACTGGCCAATGCTAGTGATTATAACATAGGTAACATGTGTAGTGCATATATTCATTCATCTCTTTGTTCATGAAATATTTCTCCATTATATTGTATTTGAGACATATTTGGAGGAGGCATAGAAATTTGGGTAAAAGCATGGACTATGGAGCAAACTAGACTGGTTTCAAACTCCAGCTTTAGACCTTTTGAGTTGTGTAAACTTGGACTAATTACTAACTTTTTCACTATCCCTTTTGTCTCATTTTAAGAATTGGATGAGGGGCCAGCAGGTGGCATGGTGGTTAGGGGCACTGGTCTTCCACATGGCTGACCATGGTTTGGATCCTGGATCTGCTGGACCTGGTGGCTTGCTTTCTCTCTTTCTCTCTTTGCCTCTCTGATCAAGTCAAATTAAAATAAATATATAAATAATGTTAAATAAAAATAATTATTTAAAAAAGACTCTTTCTAAAAAAATGGGATGAGAGGGACCGGCAGGTGACATGGTAGATAAGATGCTAGATTCCCAAGTGGTCCAATG